AGAAGATCTCAATGTTTGTGACACTAAGAAGGATATGATGGAGTGTTTAGAGGATTTCTACACCAAGTTGTTCACCTCTGAGGGACAAATGAATGGCATTGAGCTTCTAAGAGATATCAAGCACAAGATTACTCTTGCCCTTAACGTTGATCTCATTGCAGCTGTGGAAGAAGAGGAAATCGGGGAGGCAGTCTTCAGCATTGATACCAACAAAGCCCTAGGCATAGATGGTATGACATCTTCCTTTTTTCAGTCTTTTTGGGACATAGTCAAAACTGATTTTTTGCTTTACTCCAAAGTTTCTTTGCTTCTGGTTAGTAATTAAAAAGCATAAATCACTCTCTGATTACTCTTATTCCTAAGTGTCAAAACCCAGAGCTTATATCCCACTACAGGTCTACTAGTCTCTGCAGTGTGACTTATAAAGTCATAGCCAAAATTCTGGCTAAGAGATTAAAACAATGTCTTCCCTTATGCATCAGTGCTAATCAATCTACATTTGTAGCTGATAGCAAATACTGGATATTGTTATTATTGCAAATGAAGCCATCCACTTCCTGAACAGGCATAGAACATGAAGAAATTGCTACATGGCAGTTAAGCTTGATATGTCAAAAGCATTTGATAGGGTAGAATGGGACTGTGTTAGGCATATTCTGACTAAGCTGGTATTTCATGCTGATTTTATTAACTGGATCATGGCTTGCATCCCTTCAACCTCCTTTTCGTTTAATTTCAATGGGGAGGTCAAATGTTATCTTACACCTACTAGAGGCATAAGGCAGGGAGACCCTCTGTCTCTCTATATTTTTATTTTGGTTTCTGAAATCTTGTCAAAACTCATCCACAGAAATACCAGACTTGGGTCTTTTTAAGGGGCTTAAGATTAGCAAGAATGGGCCTGCTTTCTCACTTGTTCTTTGCAGATGATACTCTCATCTTCTGTAAAGCAGATATTCACCATGCCAGAATGCTCATGCATATGCTATCCCAATTCAAAATCTTTACTGGCCAAACAGTAAACCTTCAGAAGTCCACTATTTTCTTTAGCAGAAATTCTCCCTCTTCCATCACAGGTCTTATTTGTCAGACCCTACTTGGCATATCCTAACATACTTCTTCAAAATATTTAGGATTGCCTTTGGGAGTTGGTAGGTCAAAACTTGATACTTTTTTCTATGTGACTGAAAGTGTGGAAAAAAGAATACATAGTTGGAAAAACAATTTTCTGACAAATGAATGAAAGGAAGTTCTTTTAAAGGCAGTTCATAGGGCACTACCAATTTATGTGATGTCTTGTTTCATTTTTCCAAAAACCATGTGCAACTCCTTATCTCGGCTTTTTGCATCATTTTGGTAATAAAAAAAGGATATTCTAGAAATCTTGGAGTAAGCTAGCGGCGCCTAAGGAATTTGGAGGTTTGATCTTCAAAGACATCCATCTACTCAACAAAGCTCTAATCACCAAACAACTTTGGAGGCTCTACACCAAGCCCAACCTACTTGTGAGTAAAATTCTGAAGGCCAAATACTATCCTCATGACACAATCCTCACAGCTAAGCACACACAAACAGGCTCTCGGCTCTGGAATAGCTGGATGGGAGCAAGAGAAACACTGGTCAAAGGGCACAAGCATGAAATTAAAGATGGAAATTCTACAAAGGTGTGGGAACACCCTTGGATACCTTCTCTTCCAGGGTTCAAATCCTCCACCACACCTACAAACTCAAGGATCAAACTTGTGAAGGACTTACTGGATGGCACGGGTAGGAGATGGAACACAAAGCTACTTACATAGAGCATGGACCCTACTGCTAAAGACAAAGTCTGCTGGGACTGGAACTCCAAAGGAGAATTCACAGTGGCTTCTACTTATCTGAAACTCATTCATAAAAAATGGAGCCACTTGGATCAACTTGAAAGCAACTGGGATCATATAACAACAAAAAATGTGAGGAAAAGGAGTTGGAGCTTGAAACTTAAAGGTAAGTTGAAGCATTTCCTTTGGAAGTGCTACTCTAACATTCTCCTAGTCAACTGTAATCTTATCAAAAAAGGAGTACCCTTGAATATCATTTGTAATCTTGTGGAGAGGCCACTGAAACAATAGAACATTTGTTCTTTGACTGCCCCATAGCCAAACTGATATGGGCCTTATCTCCACTAACCTGAGATGGACTGGAGCAGGATATTGACAGCTTCAAAGTTTGTTGGGAAAAAATATGCTCCCTCAAACATGGTACAAACTCAGAGGCCAGAATCTGTCTCACAGCCTATCTTTTATGGTGGATTTAGAAGTCAAGAAACAAATAGATATTCCAAAATGTCCTCAGACCAACTAAAGATGTTGTAGATGTTGCTGTCTCAGAATGGAATGAATTTGAAGAATGCAGTAGCAAGTGATATCAGACTCAATTAGGTACTTTTTAAGCTCAGTGGTTGTAATTTTATGTCATTTGTTTTTGCAGTTATTAGTATGTTGGTGTTTCTTCTGAACTTAGTTTGGTTTTTTTAGTTTTGATTTTGGCTCATTGTTGGGATCATTGTGAGTAGTTCCGGTTTCAGAGATTGATGACCTGTCGGGCTACAGGTTAGTTGTTCTGGTTTAGGGAAGATTTGGTTTGGGGCACCTGCGTGTGTTCCTGTCATTGGACTTCGGTCGAATTTGGCTACTTAGCCTTCGAACTCTGAACATTTCTCTAGTTTTTTTATTAATCTATTGTCTCGTTAAAAAAAAAAACATCACAATTTAAAATTTAAAAGGAGATGAGTCCACCTTTCTGGACAACACCACAACCACCTTTGCCCAAAAATAAAATAAAATAAAATAAAGGGAAAAATAACCATGGAATTATAAATGGGGAGCTGACGTATTAATGTTTTGTTGCTAATTACCATATTCAATATTGGAAATGAAAGACTGTTGGTAGATATAAAAAAGAGAAATGAAACCAAAGCTTTATGCATTTATAATATTTTCCTTCTTTTTAAGAACAAAAAGGTGTAAGGTCTCCCGGCAGAGTAAAATTGTTAACTTTCTATATAAAATGTAAATTGAAGCATAGCTCTCATAAACTTTCCCTTCCACATCGTCCGCCTTGGCAAGTGGAAAATGCATATGAATTTAAAGTCGCGAGCACACGCCAAAATGTATGAGCCAACCGAGAAAGAGTTTGTAGAGTGTAAATGAATTTCGGACATGATTTTCTGTCCAAAGGCAGAGAAACGAATATAGTCAAAAACGATTACTATACACTGTTGAAATTACAACTCGCACCTTTCTATACTTCTATAGATTCAAACTGATCTATCTTAGATATTTCCATATGTTCAAGCTTTCAACTAAATCTGGAAATGCATGACTTGGGATGAGTGGGTTTCCAGTCAAGTTAATCAAAGGATAACATCAAAATGCTAATCCGACTCCAAATTCGAAAGTGCACGTAAAATATGGATCATGTGATCCATTTTAAACTAAAAATGTGAAGCTAGGGAACTAAACCGACAAGAAGTCATCACTGTTTTGATAATTTTTATAATCCAATAAATTTCAAAATCTCACCTCCCAATCTGGGGTATATATATGAATCATCATTGTCGTTTTTTCATATAGTTAACATAACCTAAAGTAACAAACAAATTTATTGACAATATATTATCACGACAGATTATTCTAAATCTTTCCCAGTCAGTCATAGGATTCTCTAATAATATCTCTTTCATGTTTTCAAATAGTACCAGATTCCCTGACTTGCAAAATAGATTCCTCATCCGAAGATTGAAGTATCTTGTCTCCAAGTAATGAAATATTGGCAGCTGAAGTCGCTCATAAATAAGCCTTACTGGGGAAAAAAACAACTTTTCTAGGGTCATGGACAGATGGGGCTTATTGGAGGTTACCCTAACCCTTCCAATGCCATGATTCAAGATTGCACTTTAACTAATGGAACTTTTGAGACTGGTTAATGCAATAACTAATTTCTACTCTCAATTGTAACAAGTCAACCAGACCCGATGAAAACCACACAAGTAAATGAGCAAAAGAACTCCAGAGATTCTTAGGTAATGTATAAAATTAGTAATCAGAAATATGAACTGGAGATCCAAAATACGACATTAATCTTTGTACGAACACGCGTATCCAAGTTCTACGACTATAAAAAAATAAAAAAAAAAAAGATGTAAAATTTGCAAACGAATAATACGCCTTTGATAAACCTGAACAAGTGGATGCCAGGTGATCTGAAGTGATAAAAGTGTGTGGGAATTTTAAAAATTAAATTTCAACATCACAACCACTATCAAGTAAACAAAGAAGGAACAAAACCTATATTTGCAAATATGTAACACATACACCTCTCATTGATTTAAGGAACAGAACCTATATTTGCAAATATGTCACACACACACCTCCCATTGATTAGGGTGAAATTACTCAGTAAACAGGCAAATTACTCTTCTTTCACCTCCAATACAAGAAGGGATTTTCCTCCATACAAAATACCATCTTATATAGTAGAATGATGGACAGCCCATGACTAGAATACTCATGACACCGATAATATACCCTTGCTTTGTATCGAATGAAAGTTTTGCATACAGAATCCAACCGGAATCCCACTTCCTAAGCCGTGATATAGGGAAACAGTGCTTACCAACTTAGTTTCAGTTAATCAAACATGTGTAGTCACCAATGCTCAAGTTAATCAGTTAGAGCAAATGAGCAAGCAACCAGCATAACTTCACCACAAACTTACTGCAATTATCATCCATGATAACATAAAATTACATTGTTACATTATACACAACCCAAACAACAACAAAAACCAAGAGATAGAAACAGATACTGAGAACACACAATTAATTTAGGGTATTAACACAAATAGAAAATCTCCAGAATCTCACACGAAACTGAAAATTCGTCTTGCAATGAAAAACACAACACAGTAAAAAGGAAAGGGAAAGGGGACAATAGAGATAAATAAGTAAAAACCTCGTATTATTTCCGGCTATCATAGTCGAGGATTTCGTCATCAGTGATGGACCTCGAGTGCTGCACGATGGATCTCCCAATCGAATTGATCCAATCTTCCTTCTCCTTCTCCGAATCGGCTATGAAATACATCGTCTCGGTCCGGGTTGACAGCTCGAACGCGAAGGGGCGATTGAGCACATCATCGGCGCCCTTGACGGTGAGGCAGCTGGCCACGGGGATGACGCCACGTGGCCTGGATGCGCGCGTCACCGTCGATTCCTTGAACCAGAACAGTTTTCCCTGCTTCAGGACAAACCATCGGCGCCGCCAGGTCTTGATGTACTCGCCCTGCTTAGTCAGCCAGCCGTCTCGCTCGGGTGGGCCCCAAAACTCCACTCCGTCGTAATCATCGGGGCCGGCCTGAGCCGAGCCCGTCGCGGCTCGCCATAGACTCAACATGGGCGGGTGAGTTTGTAGCGGAAGGACCGATGAGAGAGAGAGAGAGAGAGAGAGAGAGACCAGAAGGGGTTGGTCTTCAGAGTTAATGGGTGTGTTGGTGATTGTCTTTGATCAAGTCCTGTATTATTACTTTACTAAATTATACTTCTACAATCTATATCTATATAGTGAAAATAGCTATTTTCACGCTGCTAAGTTTTTCACACCGTCCAATAAAAAATTAAGTTTTTCACCCTAAAAAGTACGAAGACATATGCGATAGATAGACGACCTGTATGAGCATGAGCAAGAAAATTATGAGTTAAAGTATGCGACTGTTCTGCGACGAATATGCGTAGATTTGATGTACGATTTGGTTACTGTCGCTTATTAAATAAATATTCTTGTTAGGCAATGAATCTGCGACTATTAGTCGAAAAAACTATTTTGCGACACAACTGCGACATACCAACGTCGCATATTATTCGCAGAGTTGGTGCATAAGTTTTTTTCGTATTTCTTTAATCTTTCAGTTATGCGAGGAGTATGCGAATTGCCGCATCTTGCTCGCTACAACCCCATTCGCATTTCTACTAGAAAGTTTATTTTTTTTTTCTTTCATCTTTCAGGGGTATGCGAATTGCCGCATATTGCTCGCATACCCCCTTCGCACTTCTACTAGAAAATTTATTTTTTATTTCTTTCATCTTTCAGTTATTTCAGTTATGCGATGGGGTATGCGAATCGCCGCATATAACTCGCATACCCCCTTCGCACTTCTACTCTAAAGTTTATTATTTACTTCTTTCATCTTTAAGTTATTTCAGTTATGCGAAGAGGTATGCGAATCGCCGCATATTGCTCGCTTATCCCCTTTGCACATCTACTCGAAAGTTTATTTTTTATTTTTTTTCATCTTTCAGTTATTTCTGTTATGCGATGGGGTATGCTAATCGCCGCGCTGCACAGCCTTTTCTCAGTAGATGTTGGTTGAGCAAGTGCATGTGCTCGCATACCCCCTTCGCACTTCAACTCGAATGTTTATTATGTATTTCTTTCATCTTTCATCGTTTAATTTAGTTTAATTTTTTTCTTTCAAGTATGAGAAATGCCACATACATACAACAAACAACAAAATTATAATAAAATTGCAAAAAAAAAAAAATGTATTACATAAATCATTAAAGAACTGGGGTGGTCATTGTTTCTGGTTGTGTACTAAACTGAAAATTTGTAGAGCAATTTTGCGCCTTTTTTTCTCAGCCCACTACTTGTTAGACATGTTTAAGGGCTTCTTCTTCCTCAGCAATGTTCGTACCATCTCCACAACCCATACACCACAAAAAATTCGATCATGTTGCAAGATATTATTTTGGGTTCCATCAATTTCATAGATTTTGGATTTTTTGGAGTGCTTTGATGCGGCATTCGAGAATGTGCCCATACTCCTTTTTTTGATACGTATGCCGTAAGGGGTCAAACACACGTATAGTCCACTCGCCTAAAAGGATATGGACAGTTACATAGTGTTGGGACAAATTCACTACTCCAATAATCTGTTGCATTGAGTTGTGAGAAATTCACTATTTTTTTAGGAAAGATTGCAATATTAATTTATTCAGAATCATTGAAAACTTACAGATTGAATGTCCCTCCAAGGACACGGATTCCCCCAACCGCTGACCCCCTCATCCGCAATGCGAATCAAAGATTGGAGGGTCTCTGAGGCCGGGTCCAGTCCCCCCTTATCGATCTCCTTCTCCAATTATTAATAAAAATGGAATGACAATGAAAAAAGAAAGGATTAAAATAATCTCACAAAAAACGTAGTCGACACGATGGTATAAGTGCCCAACATATCATCCCATGGCTGCAAGTCCAAAAAGAATGGATTGTTTGCATAATCTCCAAGTATGCATTCACATTCCGTTTTATAAAATCAAACCAAACATCATCCATCAATTCAATTTTATACGTTAAGATATTATAAGAAAAACATATACATACCTCGTAAAACATCATTTCATTCGGATTAACCAACAGCTTAAATCACTCCTGGTCCACCTCATATTGAATGCAGACATTCCTCATATTAAATAATATAATAGAAAGTTATTTTTTTAAATATAAACAAAAAAGATCTTTTAGATGTACTTACATTTCTTTATTCGTGGATATGAGGAATCGTTCAAACTCGCGCTCATTTTTGGCATACCTTTGTTCTCCTCGGGTCGATATGAACTTACAACAGCACATCCTGGTTGTCTTTGTCGATCAACTTTAATCTCCAAAGACGAGGACTGCGAAGAAGAAGTGGACTGCAACACCGGTGTCTCGGAGGCGGAGGTGGGAGCGACGGGTGTCTTGGAGGTGGTAGCGACGACTGTCTCATGGAGGGGTGTCTCGGAGGTAGAGGTG